GGGGAACCGCCACTGTGCGCAACTCCGGGTGCCACCGTCCGGTCCCCGGTGTCGACCCTGCCCTCCAGAATCCGTGCGGGCGGTGGAGGCATCGATCCTCCACTATCTCTGTCGCCGTCGCTGCGTCTGTCGGACCCCACCTCACCCGCATCAGACTCGCTCCCTCTAACGCCGCTGAGCGACGAATCCGACCAGTGAGGGCTCTGCACTGTGAACGGCGGCGGTGAATATACCCTCCCATGGGCCCGCTGCTTGCCGCTCTTGCGGCTCAGGTGTGCGAAAGGGTCATCCGTCAACGTATGTGCCAAAGCGTCGGCGTCGAAGAAAGTGTGCGTTGTGCCGTCAGGGCGCATGCGAGGCACTGTGGGGTCCCTCAACACCAAGGCGAGCCTATACGGATCGTCATCCGGACCGTGGTCGTCGTCATCGTCGCCGTCCAGGCCATCGTCTCCACCGACACCCGCAGTATCCCCATCTTCACCGGGTCCACCCTCTCCTCTGCCGCACACTGCGGCACCCTGTCCCTCATCACCCGCGGTCTCGCTGTCGCCACGGCCCCCACTAGGGGACCCACCGCCCATGAAAACATCCTGCCCCTCAGGGACAGCCACGGCAGCATCCTGCCCCTCATAATTGAACTCCCCCTGAACCGCCTCCTCAGGGACACCAGAGTCGTCGACGTCCTGCTTCCCCTCCCCTCCTGTCTCCAAGTCCCTCTGCCGACGTTGCTCGTCGAGATACGCGAACCGACCCTCCCATTGTGGCAAACTCCTCAGCCGCTCCTCCTCCTCTCGGTCCAAACGGGCATCCCTCTCCTCCTCAGTTTCAACAGGGCCCCGCTCAACGTCCGCGTCTGTGCGCACATCCTGCGGTGAGGCACGTCGACGTCCCTCGACACTAAAACCTCCCAAGCTCCCGCCAAGCCCTATGTCCTCGAAGTCCTGTGTGCGGAGCACCGATGGCGAGCGGGGGCGGATACCGGCGTCGCAAGGAGTCCTCTCCCCCGCACGATCCTCGCCGTCATGTGTCCGGTCTCTGCCTGCTGACGACGCCAACCTCTCCAAACGCCTAAGTGGCTCCCCCTCGGGCTGTGCAGAGATCGGATGATGGGAGGGAGAGAAGCGACCATCGCGAAGGGGCACCTCGCTCGCTGGCACCAAAACAGGCCCCCTCACTCGCTGGCACCAAAACAGGGCCAAAATGGCCCACCGTTTTTTTTTTTTTT